ACCATGCCTTTTGTAATTTTTTTATACAGCCCACGCCACGTTGGCGGTCAGTTTTTTCGGTTTGCTTTTTCCCTTTCATCCTTCTGCCATTGGAGGGATTCAGTTTCATCAAGGGTTGGTGATCTTATGGCCTGCCCTTGTAGTTAAGGTTTCACCAACTCCCAGTGGTCTTGGGTTCGGAGGTTGGGACCACTTTCTCTACAAAACCCAAAAAATAAATTTGGGGGCATCGTAGCGTACTGTAGAATTTTCTGAAGAAAATCCCAATACGTAACACACCACGTCACCAAACTAACCACCGACCCTCGCCTTCTAAGAAACAACCACTACCAAATAAGCAACGCGTTTTCCCAAAATGGCAAAGGCGCTTGGTGTCTTATAATATAAATAGTGGCATACAACAGACAAATATTTTCTCATAGCTTCCATAAAATAGTTTCTATTCCTACGATACAAGTAAATATTTTCTCATAATTCTCATATTTTAGCAACTTCTCTAGACTAATTCTGTCCAACTCTCAAACAGTTACAACTTTCCGCTTCTTCTCTGTCACTATGAGTAAGTGAGCCTTGAACTTCAATTCCATCCAAGCTTTTCAATTTGCACTCTTTATTTTTTTTGTTTCCTGCAAAAAAAGAAGAGAGAGATATGGATGTTGGATCTTATATGCTTTTTTATCCACAGGTTGTCGGCCTTGTAGCGGTGGATCCATGATTCTTAGGCAATAAAGTGTAAAAGTTCCGATTTTTTTTTTAGATGAAAATAACATTGAAAAATTAAAGGATAGCACTTTTTTTCTAATCAACTAATCAAAACACAAAAATATAATCAATAAATCAAAACACAAAATCATAACAATTCAGATAAATTAATTAATGAAAACAAAAAGCCCTAGCCAAATGAAATTCAATTCTGTCAACAAAATTTACGAATTTCAATGCATGAAATTGAATTCCTTTCCTCTGTTAAGAGTAAAAGAGAAAACCAATCAAGAGTTTAATTTAATTCAGTGCAATACCATGTCAAAAAGATAGAAACAGATCAAGAGGCAACAATACCCATTTTAGGCGGCAGCAAGGGAGGAGATGGGGGTTGAGGTTTTGGGGAGATTGGGGTTAGGGTTGTTGAGGAAGAGAGATTAAATTGGGGTTTTGGAGGTGTAATATCGGGCGTGGGTCTGGTCAATGCAAAATGGATGGTCCCAACTCACTGCCGTGGAAACAAAAGCAACTCATCACTTCAATGGCAATAGATATGTAAATTATAAGAGAGATCCATCATTACTTTAACATTAGACACATCCTTACTTTAACATTGTAAGAGAGATCCTTTCTAATGTAAATTATAATATTATAAGATTATGGATTATAAGGAACCTTAACGTTGTAATTATGGTGCAAAAATGCGTAAATGGGAACCCAACTCTTGTAATATACCAGATTAAGGATTCATTTTATAAGTATATGGAACGTTTACATCCAAACCATTGTAATACGAACCCTTATTGTTGTAAACCCTTGAGTTTACAAGAATAAGGACCAAGTTACATCTCCAAGGTCCACCCTCGCCTTAATATTGTAATGGATATCCTTACTATTGTAAATTACGATATTACAAGTTTATGAATACACTTTATAAGTTTATGGAACTTTGACGTCCAAGTAATTGTAAAAGAAGTCCTTAATATTGTAAACCGTTGCATTTACAAGAATAAGGACTACATTTACTTCTCTAAAGTCCATCCTTACCTTAACATTGTAAGAGAGATCCTTTCTAATGTAAATTATAGTATTATAAGATTATAGATTATAAGGAACCTTAACGTTGTAATTATGGTACAAAAATGCGTAAATGGGAACCCAACTCTTGTAATATACCATATTAAGGATTCATTTTATAAGTAAAGGATTACATCCAAACCATTGTAACACAAGCCCTTATTGTTGCAAACCGTTGAGTTTACAAGAATAAGGACCAAGTTTACATCTCCAAGGTCCACTATTGCCTTAATATTGTAATGGATATCCTTTCTATTGTCAATTACGATATTACAAGTTTATGAATACACTTTATAAGTTTATGGAACTTTGACGTCCAATTAATTGTAAAAGGGGTCCTTAATATTGTAAACCGTTGTGTTTACAAGAATAAGGACTACATTTACTTCTTTAAGGTCAATACTTACCTTAACATTGTAAGATAGATAATTTCTAATGTAAATTATAGTATTATAAGGTTATAGATTAGGATTCACCCTAACGTTGCAAGGGAGGTGCGAAGTCTAGTAAATGCGAAACCAAATATTGTAATGTACAAACTTAAGGATATGATTTACAAGCTTATGGAAAGCATATGTCCATGATAGTGTAATAGTGGTCCTTAATAATGTAAACTCTTGTGTTTACAAGCCTAAGGACCCTATTTTACTTCTTCAGTGTTTACTCTTACCTTAACATTGTACTATGGGTCCTTTTCTTTGTAAATTAAGGTATAACATATTTATTTATTTATAATTCTATATTATTAATATAGAATTATTATATTTGATTATTTTTATTATATATATATATTTATAAATACACAATGAAAAAATAAAAAAGAAATCACATTGAAAACATGAAGAAAAAAATTTGATTAATAATTAGTCGATTTTACAAAGAAGTATTTATATGATCATATGCTTGTGTATGATAGTGTTCTTTTGCTTAGCAATAATATGTTATATTATATGCAAAACAAGACTATACTTTAAATTAAGAATCAATTTTATAAAAATCTATATTCTTAGATTTTAAATTATTAGCAATAATATGTGCAAATATAGACTATACTTTAAACTAAGAATCAAGTTTATAGAAATCTATATTCTTAGATTTTAAATTATTTGGTGAAATAACATTTATATATATTTATGTATTTTATGCACAGAAAATTGTCAATGAACGAGATATCTATTTTATAAATGGTAATCAAGATGTTACCATGATTACTTAAAATTGAAAGTTAACATAACCACAAATAAATAAATATTTGACATGTAAAAATCTAATGTTTTACTATTACTTTTTGAAACTTTAGATCATTCTATTATTTTTTCCTGATTTTGATCATACCTAATATTTTTACATTTTACTAAAATATTTGGTTTTTTCATTTATAGAAATATTCTTCAAGGTTGTAGGGGTTTCTTCTTCGCTTGAGTATGAATTATTCTTTGATTTGATTCGAGAAGTTTGCAGATGGGAGGAGTGTAATTGAAGGGACATTATGGGAGAACATTATGGGAAAGTCAAAATTTCATTAAAACCACTGATTAATTTTTTTTAATAAAGAAGCTTTTGAAAGCTACCTTCTCATTGCTTTGAAAAAAGTACAGCCGTCACTGACCGCAATTTGGAAAAAAAGCTGATTCTTGATGTTTTCCAAATCCAACATTATCACCTACAAAAAATAGGGCTTTTTAATTTAAGCCAAATCCAACATTATCGCCTACAAAATGGATGAAATGCAAAGCACCTACAAAAATTGGGCTTTTTAATTTAAGCAAACCACCAGATGGTGAAATGCTAAATGAACCAGAGTAGCATAGTCAGAAGACACAACCACCTCCCTGCTCAGGAAGCTTCTAACCAGAGCAGCATAGTCAAAATAGTCAAAAGACACAACCACCTCCCTGCTGAGGAGGCTTCTAACCAGAGTAGCAAAGTCAAAAGAGGAGGCTTCCGCGTTCTTTCCAGGTTGCGAGGCTCAGCCTTGAGCATAAATTAAATGTGACTCCAAAATTGCTATACATTTAAAACCACCGGTTAATTTATTATAAAAGGTTTTTTTTTTTTTTTTTTAAAAAAAAAATTATTTATAAAAGGTTTGTTCTGTTTCGTTATATGGCTTTTGTACTTGTTCAATACTTTACCCTATAGATCTTGCACTCATTTGTTGGTATTGGAGAGAATGAGACACTACATAATTACCCAACCTAATCACTAATTAGTCCCATTAATTAGGCATTATCTTGCACTTTGATTTTTTGGCTCCTCAAGGCAAGGAGAAACACTTACATGAAATTGGAATAACACTATTTTGTTATTCCCGGTCAATCACGGTATGCTACATGTAGTAACTTTTTCACGTGGCAGTCTGTGATTGAAATAGGATAGCAAAACAGTGTTACTCTCGTTTCATACAAGTTTTTCTTTAAGGAAAATACAAAATTACCTAGAGGCCCTATGTATTTTTCCCTGATTTTGGTCGTACCTAATATTTTTACATTTTACTAAAATATTTGGTTTTTTCATTTATAGAAATAATTCACATGCTAGTTACTGGTGAAGTAATAGAGAAATAATAGAAGTGAGATTAGTGGAAGAAAAACATGGAACAAATTTTTAATGCCTACTAGTATTATTATTTTAATCTAAATATATTTAACTTTTTCTGTTTACTGTAATTTCTTTTAAGTTCTATTGGTTTTTTCAGTTAATTACATTCTTACTTTAAGTTTTCATATACATAAACATCAACCCAAAAGAGAAATTAATAAATAATAAAAAAGCCTACTATTCGTATCATTAAATCAACCCAAAAGAGAATATAAATAATATATATAGAATAGAAACACGCGTTTTGTCTTTTTTATATGGCCAATGTTGGCTGTCAGCTTTTTTTATTTGTTTTTTCTCTTTCTTCTTCACCGTTTGTACGCGTTGGTGGGATTCAATTTCAGTGTTTATTAAGAGCCATAGATTCAAAGTGATCTAAAGGTTGAAATTTGGGCGCATCCATACACTGGTAGGTGAAGAGGGGGCTTAAGTTTTTACGGGTTGGGAATTTTCTGCTGAGCCATTCAATGGTGTAGATTTACCCATGAAATTTTAGCAAAATCTAACGGTCAATAGGAACCAACCCGTGCACCCATACACTGGCGCCGTAGAAGTTTCGTATAAATACATGTCCTCTCTAGCATTATCCTTACACTTCCTTATTTCAAATTCTGCGTTTCTTTATCTTCTGCCTTTCTTTTAGGGGAACCAACCCCGGCACCCATCATCGTCCAACGCAGATCTAACAAAATCAAATGGCTGTAGTGTTGAAGCGGGGGATTTTTGAGTCGACTATAAAGAAGTTTACAGGGCCTGTACCCAATAACTCCGACGATTTCAAGAGCCGTATGCTCAGACGGAATCCATATGTACGGCTATTTGAAACCACGGTTGCAGCAGCCCCAAAATCTGGCAATTCTGAATGTCAGATGGTAGTTGATATGATTCCAGTTCCTCCTCAACAGGCCTCCAGAGAGCATGAGCATTCCCAAAATATTGGAAAGCACGGGGGCTCGATGAAGCGGCGGCCTGTAGCGTTGAAGCGGGGGAGAGTAAAGCGGTGGATTTTTGAGTCGATTATACAGAAGTTTACAGGGGCTGTACCCAATAACTCCGACGATTTCAAGAGCTGTATGCTCAGGGGGAACCCATATGTATGGCTATTTGAAACCACGGCTGCAGCAGCCCCAGAATGTTGCAATTCTGAATGTCAGGAGGTAGTTGATATGATTCCTGTTCCTCCTCAACAGGCCTCCAGAGAGCTTGAGCATTCCCAAAATGATGGAAAGCAGGGAGTCTCTGTCGTCAACAACATTACTATTAGTCACAATACAATTGTTGCTGCCAATTCCAAGAGGGTAGGAATTTCGCTTTCTAATTCTAGGAATGAGCTGGAAGCAATACGGAATATGGTTTCGGTGAATAGAGTCTTTACTTTTTTGGGTGTCGTCTGTAATTTTTCAGTTTTGTTCTATATTTTGTTGGTTTTGAAAGCAAAACAAAACGTCTGCGAAGACGACCTGAGGCGATCAAGTCTTCAGTGTAAGCCTCTTTTGTGTTAGCTTCTCCTAATGGAAATTGCCGTTGAATATTAAAAAGGAGGAACATCTCCGGATGCAAGATACTACTATAAATTTTCAGGTCTTTAAAGGTTTGAAAAGATCCTTAGATCTTTATGATTGTTTTAACGTCGAAGTTGTGTATCAAATTATAGGCAAGCCATTCTTTGAATCCCTATAGAAAATATTGATACCAAGACCATTGAGGTGATGTACCTCGATGATCCCCTAGATATATGATGGTGTTTGAGGACTTGCTGGAGCAGGGTGGTTTGGGTGAGATTGAGAAGAAGAACAAGAGGAAGGCTGATCTTTTGTACAACGCCATTGATGAGAGCAAAGGGTTTTACAGGTGCCCAGCTGAGAAGTCTGTGAGGTCATTGATGAATGTGCCGGTTACTCTAGAGAGTCCGGAGTTGGAAGCTGAGTTTGTGAAGGAGGCAGCGAAAGAGAAGATTGTTCAGCTCAAGGGATATAGGTCAGTGGGAGGGATGAGGGCTTCAATTTATAATGCCATGCCTTCTAATTCTATGAATGAGGTGAAAGAAATACGGAATATGGTTTTGGTAAGCACTTGTTTGCTTTTGGTCTGTACTTGTTAAATATCGCCTTATGTCAAATATCAGTCACCTTGAACTTTGCCAGTCCATCAGCAGTTTCATTTTCGGATATGCCCAATTCATACACATTCTATAATTCATAACTTTCAAAAGGAATTTCCAAACTGAAATCAACCAAGCCAAAAGAACATGAGAGAAACTTTCATGTAACATGGGTATAGCTCTTGTGCTATCTCCGGCCAATAACACAATGATTCGTATGATAACTTTTTTACGTGTCATTGTGTTAGGCCGAGGATAGCGAAAAAGCATTATCCCCGTTACATATAAGTTTTTTTGAAATAACTTAAGCTTAAATTTGCAAAATCCAGGCTTCTTGATACCAGTTGGCTATGCAGCCGATTCTCACGAGCTCCTCAATTTCCTCCTGATTTGAAACAAAAAAAACATGTATCAGAACTGACCTAAAGAACAGTAGTAATGAAGATGAGGGATTAGACACTTGAAGCGCTTCTTTGGACTTGCTGCCTTGCCAAAATCTAAAATTCATATTAAACCAAACCACTAGATAGGAAGGGGAGGGGCATAATATATTTACGTGGGGCAAATATGCTGACCCCAACCACTAAATGGGCAGTAAGCTTTATGAAACAAAAAATAGGGCTTTTTAATTCAAGCCAAATCCAACATTATCACCCACTGCAAACCACCAGATGGTGAAATGCAAAATGGATGGTCCCAACTCACTGCCATGGAAACAAAAACAACTCATCACTTCAATGGCAATAGATATGGCAACGTGAACCGGAGTAGCATATAGTCAAAAGACACAACCACCTCCCTGCTGAGGAGGCTTCTTCATTCTTTCCAGGTTGCCAAGTTCAGCCTTGAGAATAAATTAATCGTGAGACGAAAAGCATAACTTACTCCCCCATTCATGCAAGCAAGAACATCACCTGGCTCCAAACACTTGTAAGCTGTGACCAGCCATGATATTATAATACTTCGGGTACAATAACCCAAGTTTTCCTTCTTCTTCTTTTGGCAAGAAATTGAAAGTAAGTGTAACTAAAAATTTAAAGAAAACTGCAAACAACAAGAAGCAAAAGATAATAAGAAATCGTACAATTAATGGATTATATATATCATAAAATTGAAGTGTAAGGATAAGGGTTTTTTTGTTTTTTTTTTCTCTCTCTGTCACTAGGTAGGAAGGGGAGGGGTGGTTTCCACGAGAGTGCACATTACTAAGCGTTGAACCCTGATGCCACGCGAGGGGAAGGATCAATGAGTTGTCACCCTTACCTGGATAATTTTTTTTTTGGGTCAAAATATTGACCAATAGGTTATCTTTTGGACCAGCCTGCATATTTACGTGGTTTTTCAAGAAACAGCAACAACCCAGATCTGCTATACATTTATTAAAGTGTTGTTAACCGGAAGAGGTGGATCTGTGATGGAGGAGGAGGACAAGTGCCACTCAGAGCGGAAGCGGTTTCGAGAGGAGTTTGACCGTCGGAGATCGAGTGCGATGGAGGAGGACAAGTTGTACTTGGCGTTAAAGCGGGTTGCAGAGGAGTATGATGAGATTGAATCCAATCCCTCCGACGATTTCAAGTGCGGCCTGCTCGGACGTAACATGTTTGAATGGCAATTTGCAGTCAGAGGCGCTATTGGAACTGAATTCGAGGGTGGGATTTATCATGGGCGGATCCAGTTTCCGGAGGATTACCCATCGAAGCCTCCGTCATTCATGTTTTTGACGGAAAATGGGCGCTTCAAAATAAAAACCAAGATCAGATTGAAATGGCGGCCATCATGGAGGGTGCGAGATGCTTTACTTGAACTTATTGATTTAATGTCCACCTACCCTGATGGTGAAATGGGTTCAGTAGAATACAATAAGGAAGAAAGGCGTGCCCTAGCCATCAAATCTCGTGCAGCACCCCCAAAATATGGCACTTGTGAACGTCAAAAGGTAATTGATGAGATTCATGAATATATGCTAAGCAAGGTACCCCCTATTCCTGTTCCTCCTCAACTGCATTCCCAAAATCATGGAGCCAAAAGAAAGCACGGCACAGGCGGCACAGGCAGCAGCGGCGGCGACAACGGCTCTGTCGTGAATGTTATTGGGAATACATTTCATGCTATCAATTCCAACGGAGTAGGATTTTTGGATTCTATGAATGAGGCCTTCAACCCCAAGAAAGCAAAACGGTGTTGGCTTTGGTGAAGAAAGCAAAACTGGACGACTATGTTTAGGATGCCAATTCTCCAGCCCGACACTTACGTTTTAGTCCACCGTTGGTTGTGTAGGTAAGAATAAGTAGTTAGGCTCAGTATGAGTTTCCCTCCAGGTATCCCATGTGGACACCTGGCTGGGTCAGTAAGTAGTTGGGCCTAAATCATTCGGTTTTTATTTTAATTTTGTTCTTGTCGAAATTCGGTTTTTATTAAGTTTAATCTATGGTGTTTATGTCGTTGATGAAGACCCACTGCATTTATATCTCTTTTTTGTTTGTCCCTTTTGCCCTTGGAAATACATACAGTAAGAAACTTAAAATCCTGATTTAATGCATCTTTCACTTCTAATTCAAAATTTGAATTATGAACTTGTTAATTTACTAATTTCATCATGTTACCCACACCTATAGCAAGAAAGAAAAAAATTGTCAATAAATGATTGACTTGTTTTTATAGTAAAATAATTGACCTTTATATATAGTAAATAGCGTACCATGTAACAGTTAAATAACAAAGTTTGTAGAGTAGGGCTCTTCTTTTATTTTATTTTTATATAACCAAAATGCAAGTACAACATACGAGTACAGAAGACAGATGAGAAAATATTTGAATATAAGCAGCTACATAAATATTCAGTAGCAAAAATGGCCTCTTGATTGCTGATATGTCCACAAATTTCTGTTCCAAGCCTGTCGATGAGTCCAAAATTGGGATCATCTACGCTGGGGCCCAGAAAAATGTTATGATATATCAGATATATAAATGTGTGGATTGGTGTTTGAGGACTTGTTGGAGCAGAGCAGGTTTGAGTGAGACTGAGAAGAAGAACAAGAGGAAGGCTGATCTTTTGTACAACTCACGCCATTGATGAGAGCAATGTGGCCAGTTGAGAAGCCTGTTAGGTCATTTGATGAATGTGCCCTTTGTTAACGGGTGAAAATTGAATAGCCATACTATCGCAATCACAAGAGAGAGAGTAGTTCACTCATAAAATTTCATTAAAACCTAAGACAGAACTTGCCCAAGTGCATGTTTTAGTCAAAGATAAATAGATAATGGCTTAAAATACGATTTGGGAGTGTTGGAGGCGTCGAAAGAGAAAAAAATTGACCATTTGGGAATTTAGGACGAAACCTCCCTCCCATAGCGTCTGTTTTAGGTAACACTATGTCGGAAGTGAAAGGCATTTATTGTTAAAATCAATGCCGATCATAAATTAAAGATGCTCGAGGAATGGCGTCTCTGGTATTGCAGTTTTCTTGACTTTTCTTTACTATAATCAGCAGTAATGAACATTTTCTGACGACTGAATTTGCTCTATTTGTAGACCGGATTTTTTCCCCCATTTGTCCCTTTTGCTCAGGCATTTGCAGCGGTGATTACAGCTGCTCTTACAGGTTCTCTGTACCATGGTTAATTTTTTTTTAAAAGCTTTTGAAAGCTGCCTGCCTTCTCCCTGCTTTGAAAAAACAGCCGTCACTGACCGCAATTTAAAAATAAAATAAAATTGATCCTAGATGCTTAACAAACACCTTAGTTTTGAATTTTTATTTTTATTTTTAAAACTGCTTTTTCATCCTTGGTTTTGGTGGGCAGACTTGAGTAACTGCTTTTTCATCCTTAGTTTTGGCGGGCAGACTTGAGTAACCCTTATATAGCTATCACGTGTCTTATATTTTCAGACTTAAGTAACCCTTAGAGCATCTCCAGCGCTCACCCAAAACCTGGGCAAAAGGCCCCCCTAGCAGCCCAACTCCTCTCCAGCGCGCAGAAAAGAGCTCGGGCAATGGCTGGGTCCCACCAGCCCGGGCAGGCCCAAGGGCAACTTTCGCCTGGGCTTCAGCCCGAGGGCGCTGACGTCAGCGCTGGTGTTATGCTGACATCAGCGAGCAAAAAAAAAATTCTAAAAAATTATAAAAAATTCAATTTTAAAAAAAAAAATACCAAAAAATTATGGATATTTTCCCTATAAATACATAACAATTTTATTCACTTTCCTTATAAATACATAACAATTTTATATTTTGTTGCATATATTTTTTTTTCTTGCCCTTGACTTGCCTTAGACTTTGCCCTCATGGGTGGAACCACAAATGCAAAGGCTGACACTATTTACGTGAATAGTTGCAGCCCTTGCTTGCCCTTGCCTTAGACTTGGCCCTTGTGGGTGGAGATGCTCTAAGTAGTTTAGATAGCTATCACGTGTCTTATATTTTCGTTCTTATTAACTTATCTATCTCTGTTGTATTGAAAGAACCTGGCCTTACAGTAGTGAGGCAGAGAAGAATATACATCGCCTATTTCCAATTCTGCCTGCCTTCATCTTTTGCCTTGCTTTTAGGGGAACCAACCCGTGCACCCATCATCGTCCGACGCACATCTAACAAAATCAAACGGCTGTAGTGTTGAAGCGGGGGATAGTAAAGCGGTGGATTTTTGAGTCGATTATAGAGAAGTTTACAAGGGCTGTACCTAATAACTCCGACGATTTCAAGAGCCGTATGCTGAGGTGGAACCCATCTGTATGGCTATTTGAAACCATGGGTGCAGCAGCCCCAAAATATGGCAATTCTGAATGTCAGAAGGTAGTTGATATGATTCCTGTTCCTCCTCAACAGGCCTCCAGAGAGCTTGAGCATGTTAGGATTTTTCAAGTATTTATGTTTTAGTTGAATTGGTCAAGTTAGTTGTCCCTAGGTGTTAGGGACGTGAGGTAGTGTTTGTTTATTTGTTATCCTAGTTTCTAGGGGAATCCCATCAGTCTAGATATTAGACGTGGGTTTGGTTTGCTGCTTAAGTTTCTGCTTTCAGTTTCTTTGTAAGGCTATATAAGCCCAGCTTTAGAGCTTTGATAAATAAGACGCACTTTTCCAATTATTGTTTCAATTACTCAAGCTTTAGTTTTCAACAATTGGTATCAGAGCCCCCACTGGGGCCTGAGTAGAAAAGAAGCAGCAGCTTGCATCTTGCAGCAGCAAGATCACCATGGCGAGTGACAACACTAGTTTTGTACAACCAGCAATCCCAAGGTTAGATGGACACTATGATCACTGGAGTTTGCTTATGGAAAATTTCTTGCGGTCCAGAGAGTACTGGAGTTTGGTGGAGAATGGCATTACTAAACCTGCTGCAGAAACTATTCTCACTGAGGCACAAAGAAAGGCGCTGGCAGATCAGAAGCTCAAAGACTTGAAAGCCAAAAATTTCTTGTTTCAAGCCATTGATCGTGTCACTCTAGAGACCATCCTCAAGAAGGATACAGCAAAGGATATTTGGGATTCTTTGAAGCAGAAGTATCAAGGGACAGCTCGTGTGAAACGAGCCCAGCTACAAGCTCTCCGCAGAGAGTTTGAGATTCTTACCATGAAGGAAGGCGAGTCTGTTACAGACTATTTTGAACGAGCGCTGACAATTGCAAACAAGATGCGTATCAATGGAGAACAAATGGAAGATGTAATCATTGTCGAGAAAATCCTCCGTTCAATGACCTCCAAGTTTGCTTATGTTGTATGTTCAATTGAAGAATCCAAAGATGTTACTAAACTTTCCATCGATGAACTACAGAGCTCTCTACTCGTTCATGAACAACGAATGATTAGTCAGGTTGTTGAAGAGAAATTATTGAAGGTCTCACTAGGTGATGACAACAGTCGTGGAAATTCATCCACATGGAACAGTCGTGGAAGAGGCCGAGGTCGTGGAAGAGGTCGCGGACGTGGGAGAAGACGTTGGTATGAAAACCAGACAACTGAACATGAAGGAACGTGGGACAAGTCAAATGTTGAATGCTACCGTTGCCACAAATATGGTCATTATCAATATGAATGTCCAGAATCTGCTCGAAAGGAAGAACAATCAAATTATGCCGAATCAGAAGAAGTACTCTTGATGGCTTACATTGAGGAGAAGAACCCAAAACCCGATATTTGGTACCTGGATTCTGGATGTAGCAATCATATGAGTGGTAACAAATCTCTATTCTCTGATTTAAATGAAGATTTTAGAGAGCATGTGAAGCTAGGAGATAATTCAAGCATATCTGTGATGGGCAAAGGAAATATTCAAGTACATATTGATGAGAATACTGTGTATAAGATTGCTAATGTCTTCTATGTTCCAACTCTGAAGAACAATCTTATTAGTATGGGACAATTGCAAGAAAATGGGCACACAATCGTTATTCAAGCAGGCTGCTGTCAGGTTCGACACCCAGCAAGAGGCTTAGTTACTGAAGTCAAAATGACGCAAAATCGTATGTTTCCATTGTATACACACAAGAGCGTTCCAAGCTGTTTCTCAACAAGAGTGCAAGACACTACCTGGTTGTGGCATTTTCGCTATGGGCATTTGAATTTCAACGGTCTGAAGACCCTTCAACAGAAGAATATGGTAAAAGGCCTTCCTCAAATTCATTGTCCATCTCAAATATGTGAAGAGTGCACAGTGGGTAAACAACATCGTGATTCTTTCCCAAACACGCAAGCATGGAGAGCAGAACAAGTCCTGCAACTAATTCACTCAGATTTGTGCGGACCCATCAATCCAGCTTCAAACAGTGGCAAGAGGTACTTCATTACTTTTACTGATGACTATAGTCGCAAAACTTGGGTTTATTTTTTGCATGAAAAATCTGAAGCCCTTGTTGCATTTCAAAGATTTAAGGCCAGGGTAGAGAAGATGACAGGATACTTTATCAAAAGTCTTCGTACAGACCATGGTGGAGAATTCAATTCTAATGACTTTGCAAAGTTCTGTGAGGAAAATGGAATTCATAGACAACTTACTGTAGCATACACGCCACAACAAAATGGCGTATCAGAGAGGAAGAATCGCACTATCCTAAATATGGTGCGAAGTATGATGGCAAGGACAGGTCTCCCAAAGAATTTTTGGCCCGAAACTACAAATTGGAGTGTACATTTATTAAATCGAAGTCCCACATTTGCAGTCAAGGATATGACTCCAAAAGAAGCATGGTCTACTCATAAACCATCAGTTGGTTATTTTAAAGTTTTTGGGTGCATAGGTTATGCACATATACCATATGAAACAAGAACAAAGCTAGACGACAAAAGCATGAAGTGCATTTTTCTTGGAGTCAGCGAGGAGTCTAAAGCTTTCAGGCTTTACAATCATGTGACTAAGAAGATTATTGTTAGTCGCG